TGTATGTGAGGTGCGATCTCACTGTGCGTGCCTGCAACTTGGAGAAGCCAAGCAGGCTACTCTAACCGCTGAGGGTGAGTCCGTATACAAGTGCAACGCGTGTGCGAATTCATCAGGCATTGATATGGATCCTACCAATTCACCAGGATCTCCATCTAATGAAGGAGCTAATGAAGGAGCTACGAGTTGTGCTTCATCCAACAGAGAGGTCTCTCCGCTTATATCTGTGAGTAATCAGCTTGAAGCTATTAGACACAATGGACAATGCACCGTGCAGTTAATTGAGTCCCTTGTGGATATGGTAACAAATCTGGCTAAAGAGGTCGCCCATCTCAAAAATGATAACTTGCTGCTGAAAGAGGAAATTAGGAATCTGCATAGCCACGTTGAAGCCTCACCCAGGCCCCTTAGGGAGCAGCGCATTCTGCTGGCAGAAACATCCCGCAAGGAAGCGGCCAGCAACCAGGGTATGCCTTCAGCTGCCTCTCCACTCAGGCCTCGCCTGCTGTACCTGCTGGGACAACCTTGTCCTACAGGGACGTCGCTGTGGTTGGGGTTTCACCCCCTGGGCCTACAGCGCTACCTGATCCTGATGGATTTAAAACCGTTAGGTACAGAAATAGGACCACCACCAGCACTCCTGCTGCAGGTGCTGTTGTCAACAAAGTTAAGCTTCCCAGACAGCCCCTCATCAGTATTAGTTACTCGCAATCCTTGCTGGTCGTCAAAAAAGCTGAAAGATCCAAGGGACTATTTGTCTCTCGGTTTACCCCGAGGTTACTGCGGATGATGTGCACAAATCACTGAAGGATCAATTGAGTCTAAAACAGTTGGTCTGCACCAGACTCAAAACTAAATTCAACTCGTACTCTTCCTTTCACATCTCTGTATTGGAAGACGAATTTGCTCTAATAAATAGCCTTCTGGTTGCTTGATTGCTCCATATTATGGTAAGCTTACCGGGGACCAGATATTTACCGCCAGCACACCTGAAGCGGCAGCTCCCGC